GGAATTCTGTGACTGTAAATTATTTTGTATTTATTTATTTGTGAACCAAGGAAGTTCCTTGAAGGTAGACACATCTTTTTTTTTTCATCTTAGCCTTTGTCTCTCCCCCACCTAGCATAGTGCTTGGCACACTTAGTAAAGGCTTGTTTAGAGACCCATGGAAGGTGTTTACCTCCTTGAGAATGAGTTAGCCAGTCAGTCTTTTTTGAATGGCTGTTCTGTGTTACTATCACTGCCTTATCACCAGGTTTAGGTTGACCCTTCTATTGAGTTCATCCCTAACCCTCGAGCCACATAGTCTCAGATGAGATAGAAGGGAGAACCAAAAGCCCTATAGAACCAGAATCCCATGGGGATACAAGCCACCCTCCAGCCCAGTAAACCTGAGAACCCAGCACATACAGTATTCTGCAGCTCTGAAACTCCCAAGGGAACAGCCCAGAGGCTAACCTAGGAAGCATAAGTATTGCCTAAGCTTCAGCCAAAGGCTGCAGGCCTTTGTAGAAACACCGCGTAGAAACACTGCTCCTGGCTGAGGAGTGGGAAAGGGTGAAGAAGGAATAAGAGAGGGAAGGGGGTGGGGTAAGGAACATGCTCAGGCCTAAGGCAATTCTTCCATTCCTTTTATATTTAGTATTACAAAAATTTCTGGATGTGGGCTTGTAGCAGTTAAAAGGCCTGAATTCCTGTCCCAACTTCACTACTCACTAGCTGGGTGACCTTGGAAGAGACACTCCCACTTTATGGGCTTCACTTTCTTCTGGGGGAAAAAAAAAACAACATGGCAGGACTAGGAACTAGCTCTGAAATTTGATTATTTTAAGTTCCCACCATTGACTTCCCACAGGAAAGACATTACAACCTGTTATTAGAGGGCACACAAAGGGACAGGAATGCATTCCTTCCCTGAGGAGACAAAGGATGGACACTTTCCTCAATGGAGAGATAACACTGAACAACTACCTAAACAACCCTGAAGCAATACAAATTTGAGTCCAGGCTAAGGTGTAGGGATCCCTTGCATTTTTTTTCAGTTTTCATTCTAAGCCCTTCCAAATTGGCCATCTCATTTGGACCCCATAAAAACTGTACAATGGGTATACTTCATAACCCAGCCCTGTCCCCCTTTTCCAATTTTCTCACACTTTATTCCTCTCCATGCACTCTAAGATCCATTTACACTGGCCTACTTAACATTCCTTGCATATGACTCCATCTCCAATCTCTATGTCTTTGTACTGGCTGTGCCCTGTCCCTGAAATGTTCTTCCCTTTCATCTCTGACCCCTAGCCTCTTTCAAGACTCAGTTCAAATCCTTCTGTCCCATTAGATTTTTCAAGTCTGTGAAAGCAGGGGCTGTCTGGGGCCTTGGTTTGGGGGGCGGGTGCCTGTCTCCCAGTGCTTGGAACATTTGTTGTTGTTCAGTTATTTCAGCTATGGCCAACTCTTCATGACCCCATTTGGGTTTTCTTGACAAAGATACTGGAGCAGTTTGCCATTTCCTTCTCCAGCTCATTTTGCAGATAAGGAAACTGAGGCAAACAGAGTTAAGTGACTTGTCCAGGTTACAGAACTAGTAAGTGTCTGAGGCCAGATTTGATCTTAGGAAGAGGAGTCTTCCTGACTTCAGGCTTGGCACTCTTTGGTGTCACCTAGCTGCCCAACTTGGTAAACGGTAGGTGTTTAATAAATGCTAATTAACCCACCTTCTGCAGGAGGCTTTTCCAGGTCTCCTCAGATGCTAGTACCTCTGAGATTACTCCTTGAAGGCAAGGGCTGTTTTTACCCTTCTTTGTAATTTGAGGTCCTGGGCATTAATTGATTGATCTAATTTTACAGAGGAAAAAACTGAGGGTCAATGACTTCAATAAGGTCACACAGCTATTATATGACAATGTTATTAGTTGGAATTACAGAACACAGGGGCTAGAAGAGGTCTTAGAGATCATTTCATCTACTTCCCTCATTTTATAGATGAGGCCCAGAGAGTTGCCACAAGGTCACAAAGGATGAAGCAGGAACCTGAACTTGAGTTTTCCAACTCAAAACCTAGAGCCTACTCCTTTCTCCCTCCCAACCATCACGCTCTTTGCTCACTATTCTTCATCCTCCTTTCTATTCCTCCACCCTACCCTCTCCCCAGGTTCTCCTTCAGTATCCTCTGGCCTCCAGGACCCAGCTCTCGGTGGTTCCCCCTGGAGTCACTCTGGAATCAGAAGCTGTTACCCACCTGCAATATCTACCTCCTGGGCAGGCTATGAGGAAAGAGTTTCAAGCACAAGATAGATACAAATGAGCCATCAAGGCAACCATAACCAGAGGACAATAAAGCAAGTAAAGGGTTAGGTAAGGAAAAGTCGGGCAGAGGGAGGGCAAGGTATAAAGGGAGGTGACCTGCTATGGCATTCTGCAGGCATTTCATTTGATCTTCAAAACATCCTGAAGAGCTAAATACTCCTGGGATTATCATCTCTATTTTATAGTTGAGGAAGCTGAGGCTGAAAGGACTTAGGGTCACACAGCTAGTTAAGTAGTAGGTGAAACATTTGAACCCAGGTCTCTGCTGACTCAGGTCCAATAATCTTTCCACTCGACTACCCCTAAGACAAATTAATCAAGAGCTAAAGAATGTAAACTGTCTGGAGCTGGGATCTTCCCCAGTCTTGTTATTGTTGGCACCTAATGGGTATATATAATATCAGAGCTAATTTAAATTTGCTCAGTGTCTCCTCATACTTTTCCAGCAAAGGCCCAACAAGGGACCTTTTTGGTTTCACCTTTAACCAAGCCCATCTCCAGCCTGCACTGATATCTTTGCTACAGAAGTAATCTGTATTTCCAGCTACTTCTGCTCTTGGTTAGGCAGGAAGGGAAAAGAAGAGCTTTTCAAGGGGAAAAGAGGTCAGGGACAAAGTCAAAAGCTTCAAAGAATAGTGAACAAAAAAAAAATCACCAATTGTAGGGGCAATGTCTTTTCAGGGAGTTATTTCCAGCCTCTGTAGAGGCCTGGCCCCTAACCCTCTTTGATTTCCTGCTTCACCTTTCTTTGAAAAGAACTCTGTGGCATAGTTATTTTTAAAATAATTTTTAGAATAAATTTTACTTTCTAAAGTTATTAATAATTTTTTTCTGCTTCCTCTCCCCTCATGGGGGAGAAGAAAAAGAAAACCCTTGGCATAGCTTCGGGTTTTTTCGTTTGGTTGGTTTTTTTGGGTTGTTGTTTTTTGGGGGGGGTTTTGGTGAGGCAAAGTGATTTAAGTGATTTGCCCAGAGTCACACAGCTAGTAAGTGTTATGTGTCTGAGACTGGATTTGAACACAGGTCCTCCTGACTCCAGGGCCAACGTTCTATCTATTGCACCACTTAGCTGCCCCTTGCATAGTTATTTTTTAAAAGAAATAAATTCACCTTAATCATGTTTGGAAAACTCAGGAGGAACACCTAGAGAGACTAAGGAGTTTCTTTTAAAGGGGTCACAATCCCAGGCTTGAATCACAGAATATTAGAGCTAGCAGGGATTCAGTGATCTAAACCCTTATTTTATACTTGAAGGCCCCCACAGATGAAGAGACTTATCCAAGGCCACAGGTGTAATCAGTAGCAGGGCAGGTAATCAAATCCAGATTTCCAAATCCAATGCTACTTTCCCCAAAACCCAGCAAGGGTTCTCTGCTTCTTTCTTCCTCCAACTCTGTCTCTTCTTTGCTGTAAAACTTTTGGCAGAAGTGGCCTAAACTAGTGCTAATGGGTAAGTGAGAAGGTGTGGAGAGAAGAAATTCAAGAACTGCACAAGAAGGGGGTGGGGGTGGGAGAAAAGGTACCAACCTCAACCACAGTGGGCAGGAATAAAAAAGTAACTTGAAAAGTGCTTATGAAAGGACAGATGTTGGTGAGAGTTCTTTAGCTGAAGTCTGGCACAGCCCCTCTCCTTACCACTATTATCACCACCACCACCACCACCCCACTATTACAGTGTTGCACAGCAACCGGACGTAGCCTTAGGGAAGATGAGTCTAACCTGGGCCAGCCTTAGCTAACGGGTGCTGGCCTGCATCCCACACACGCCAGACCTGGGAGCCAGCTGTGCTGCCCCCCAACTCCTGTCCTGAATACAGAAACCAGCTTTGTTGCCACCTTCCCCAATCTCCTACCTTGGCTCCAGGAACTATTTGTGCCGTCTCCAACCCCCTCCCCCCCGAAAAATCTCCAGGATCTAGAAACCAGCTGCGTTGCTCCTTCCCCCAATTTTCTGCTCTAGCTCCAGGAACCACCTGCCCCCCCCACACCGCTGCCCCCAATCTCCTGCCCCGGCTCCAGAAATCAGCTGGCTTCTGGAACCACCTGTACCACCCCCCCCATGCCCTCCCAACCTCCTACCCTAGATAAAGAAACCCGCTGCGTTGCCCCTTCACTGCCCTGGCTCCAGATAGCTGCGCTGCCCCCACCCCACCCCGCCATCGCCTGCCCTGGTTCTAGGAACCACCTGTACTCCCCCCCAACCTCCTGCCTTAGCTCCAGTAACCACCTGCGTACTTGTCAAATCTCGGGGCCACCAAGCCCTGGGCCAGACCCCCATAGAACCTGCTGAGCTGCACCCTCCCTTTTCCCCTGGCCAGACCTCCAACGAGCGCTCTACGTTGTTCTTTCCCAATTCCCCTGGCCGGACCCCCGGGGAGCCCCCTCCTATTTCTGCAGGCTGGACCTCCCAAGGAGCCCTCTGCGTTGTCCTTTCCTATATGCCCTGACCAGACCCCCGGGGGGCCCTCTGCATTGTCCTTTCCCATTTCGTCTGGCCAGATCCCTGGGAGCCCTCTACGCTGCCCCCCTCCCATTTCCTCTGGCCAGACCCCAGAGAGCCCTGTGTATTGTCCTTTCCCATTTCGTCTGTTCATACCCCGGGGAGCCCTCTGCGCCGCCCCCTCCCATTTCCCCTGGCCGGTCTCCCCCGGAGCCCGCAGCTCTGGCCCCTGTCCCAGCGCTGCCCGGGGCCACCTACTCACCCTGCCCCCGGAGGAGGCTGGGGATCCGGGCCCCACATCCCCGTTCAGCTCGTACTCCTCCGGGCCTGAATCCATGCCGCCGCCCGCGTCCCCGTCGCCGTCGGGGAGCAGAGCGCGCTCCGCAGGGCTGGTGGCCGCCGCAGGGCTGCCGGGCTGGGCTGCGCTCCCGTCCAGCTTGGGGCCCTTTCCCGCGCCCGCTTGGCTCTCTGCGGCTCGGCGAGGCTGCAGGACCAGCCCCGGATGGATTTCTCTTCCCGGGCCTGCCTCACCTCCCTCTTTCTCCCGCTCCGCTCGCCGGCAGAGGAGGAGGAGGAGGAGGAGGTTGACGCAGCCCCAAACCCACCACCTCCTTCTCTGGGGGCGGAGAAAATAAAATGTAAATATACTGTTCTGTATTTTTGTAGGGAGGGGGAAAAAATCGTGGGCGGGGCTAGATAGGCTTGTGAATGAAGCGGGAGGGAAGAGTAGGAAGAGGAATGAGGCTGGGCTGAGGGCTGAAGGAGGAGGGTGCCGAATGCTGGTGTGGGCACCATCAGAGTGTATTCCTGCCCGACCAGGGGGACCACCTGTTGCCACCTCAGAGGCGCACAGAAGTTCAGATTCTTGGAAGAAGCCCCAGACAGTAACTTGTCCAAACCCCTCCTCATTTAACGGATGGCCCTAACAGCTTAATATGGCTTGCCTAGATACCAGCTAGTGGCAAAATGGAGCCAAGCAGACTTGGGCCTTCCGTGTTGTCAGGCAACAGGGCCGCAGAATAGGGAGCAAAAGGAGCTCCCTGGGGGCCACATTAACCGTGGCATGTTACAATCGGAAAGGGGCTCGGAGATCACCTAGGGCGTGTGGCACGTCAAGTCCAAATTTCCAAAGCGTTCTAAACTCGTTAAGATCTCACAGGATCTTGAACCTCAAGCTGGGGTGGGGGGGTGGGGGGACTTAGAAGTCATCTAGTCCAATATGCGGAATGGGACATTTATTTTTGGACAAGGCCAGTGTGAGAATTTGTTTTGCTTGACTGAGTACTGTCTACAGGTTTTTTGTTTGTTGGGGGGTTTTTTTTTGGGGGGGTGAAAGGAAGAGAAGAAAGCAAATGATTAATTGAAACTATTAAAAGTTAAAAAGAAGTCATCTAGTCTAACTCTTTCCCATGAGGAAACTGAGGCCTAGGAAGTTAAAGTAATACATGCAAAGTCTCCCAGGAAGGAAGTGGGAGAGAAGGTAAGTATTCTCACTCTGCTGTTCTTTCACCTTTGCCAGACTGCTCCATATTATCATAATACTGTTTATGTCAAGCAGGGACCTTAAAGATTCTCCTCCAAAATCCTTCATTTTACAAAGGAGGAGGTCCAAACCACTTCACCAGCTATTAAATGGTAGAACTAGATCTCCAAACTGGATTATCTTTCCAAGTCACAGGAGATCACAGGGCCTCAGACCCTACCAGAAAATGGCCTTCAGCTCTTTTCTTAGAGAAATCCTCTTGCTGCTTTCCCCTTAGGACTGGGTAACCAACAGTTTAGTTCCTGGGTTTCCAGTGCATGAGAGGTCAGAGTGGGATATGTTTCAGAAACAATCTGTCATTCCCCAAGAACTGACTGAGTGCCCAATATGGTGCTAGCACTGTCCTACTGCTAGAGGTGGGGAGACAAAGATGTCTCCTGCCCTGAGGCATGCAAAGTTAAATAATACCAGGCCTCATATCCCATCCAGCTCTAAAGTTCTGTGACTTTGGGACACTAAGGCAATATAAGCAGTTCCCAAACTAAAAAAACAACTGCATATAAGGCACTACCACTCTTCCCCTGCCCCACCCAACTCCCACACAGGCAAGAGCCCTTGCAGAAACCACAAAACTTTGAGAGATTCTGTGTGTCTGGAAGAAGTGATGAGGAGCTGGCCTGGGCAGTAACCCAGGCAGGACAGGCTTGCCCAGATAGAGGATCCCCCTGCCCGCAAATTCCTCTTTCAATCAGCTGGACAATGCTCACATTTTTCCTTTCTCTTTCCTGGTAGCTTGAAGCCATTCAAGAGCCCTTTTAGGTAACGGGCACCATTTAAAAAAAAATAAATATGTGCCGTGGTATCAACCATTGACACATTTATGTGATTTCAGCTTTGGTTCTGACACATAGGTGTGATAGACACCGAGTAGGAGTTCTGTTTGGGAGGAAAGGGTGGGGAGAAAAGTAATTTGAAAATGGAATTTTTGGAGTAGGTCAAGCATGTCTGGGGCAGCCAGGTGGTAAAGTGGATTGAGTGCCAGGTCTGGAGTCAGGATGTCCTGAGTTCAAATCCAGCCTCAAGCACCTACTAGGTGTGTGACCCTGGGCAAGTCACTTAACCATGTTTGCCTCAGTTTCCTCATCTGTAAAATGAGCGGAAGAAAGAGATGCAAACCACTCCAGTATCTTTGCCAAGAAAACCCCAAATGGTGTCAGGAAGAGTTGGACAAGACTGAAATGATGGGGGCAGCTAGGTGGAGCAGTGGATAGAGCACCAGCCCTGAAGTCAGGAGGACCTGAGTTCAAATCCGGCCTCAGACCAAACACTCGACACTTACTAGCTGTGTGTGACCCTGGGCAAGTCACTTAACCCCAACTGCCTATAAAAAAAAAACAAGACTGAAATGATGGAACAACAACAAGCATGCCTGGAAAGGGCCCCAGTAAGGGGTTTAGGCAACTCAGGGAATACTAGAAAGGGCTGCTAAAAGGAGAAAAGGGCTGTAAAAAGGAATATGGGAGGTGGCCAAAGACAAACTCAGGGTAAGCACTAACCTTTCCTATTCTTCAACCTTTCCTGCCCCATACCACAAGATTCCTGACCTCAGAACCCAGAACTAAGGTTAGTATTATTCAGTTATAGTACTAATATACATAGGATCCTAGATTTAGAGCTGTAAGGAACCTTAGACATCATAAGGACCAATAATCTCATTTCACAGATGGGGAAACTGAGACCCAGAGAGGTTAAGTGACCTGCTCAAAGTCACAGAGATGTTAAGTGTTAGAAGCAGGATTTGAACCCTGGAAGCATGGTGTAGTGGATAGGGCAATGGATTTGGAGTTCGCACAACCTTCGTTCAAATCTCGCCCCAGATGTTTACTAACTATGAGACCCTGGCCAAATCATTTAACCTCTGTGCTTCAGTTTGCTCTTCCGTAAAATGAAAGGGTTGAAGTTCCTCCCAGCTCCAAATCTATGACTTTCCTGACTCCAACCCCAGTGCCCTAGCCATTACACCGTACTATCTTCTCAGGTTGTCCTGTCTTCCACTAAAGCCCCATCTTGAACGTCTCATTTTTTTATGGATGTAACTTTGGACTTTGGAGGCTCAGCCGGTGAAACTCAGACCTTGGCGAGCCCTACAATCTGGAAAGATTTTGAGCGTGGATGGCAGATGACAGACTGTCTTTCATCCTAGGGCCAGATTAGCTGAGCTCAGAGAGATCCAACTAATTCATCCAAGCAGCAGCTACAGGCTGCTGATCTTTTTGGTTTGCTACTCACAAAGCTTGTCTAGGAAGGCATAGAATAACTGGTTATATCTATTTTCAGTGGAAGAACTATCCACCCAATGAAATTACAGGGATGTGGAATATTTAAGCTATATTATGAACCAAGTATGTGGGCTTTTGTGGACTAGAATGGGTACCCAACCACCATTTATAGCATTGTTTCTTTTGGGAAAGTGTGTCAAAATAAAAAACCGGAGAATTTGGGGACCACAGCCCACTCATAAATTGGTGACTATGAGAGTGCCAAAGCAAGGAGACAGGCAATGAATCCTGGGGAAAATCAAAGAAAGGAGAGATTGCTCTCTGTGGGCTGGGAGAGTAAAGGAATATTTCTTAGAGAGACAGAACTTGAGCTGGGTCTTGAAGGATGGATAAGATTCATATTGATGGGGGCAGCTAGGTGGAGCAGTGGATAGAGCACTGACCCTGGAGTCAGGAAGACCTAAGTTCAAATCCAGCCTCAGACACACATTTGACACTTACTAGCTGTGTGACCATGTACAAGTCTCTTAACCCCAATCGCCTTACCAAAACAACAACAACAAAAAAAAAGATTCATATTGATGGAAAGGTTTTCCTTTTCAGGCAGGGGAAACATCATGAGCAAAGGTACAGGAGTGCCTCTTAGGGACTGGAATTTTGCCCTTGAATTCCATTCAGTCCCATGACTGTGTCTCTTCTGCGTGCTGCCAGTATCCCCTGAGCCCATGGCCAGGCTGCCTCTCTGACACTCTGCTTATTGCCTATTGCCAGACTACCTTTGCGGTCTGTTTCTGCCCACCTTCCAGAACACCTGGTTTCCTGCCAGAATTCCTAACTTCTTTCAGCTTCTGTCTTTTGCTTGCTGGCTGAGTCCTCAGACTTTATGCCTCCATACCTGTCACGCCAACCACCAGGACACCTCCCTGAAATCAACCAATTTCTTTGCCTTTCTACACATGTACCTATTATCATCCTCTCAAAACTCCCCTAACATGAGACTCAATTATCCAGTCTACCTCTCTGAATGATACACCCTTCCTCTGTAAGTCTTTAATTTCTATATCCTTACCGTCACTAACTGGACTTATTCCTGATCATAGATATTGAAAGAGAATTGATCATATTTCTGTATTAGAGTTTTCAGAGTGTTTTCTTTTTCTTTAATCAATATATTTTGTTTTGACTTCTCAGTTTCATCTCTTTCAAACAAACTCCACCTCCATAATACCTTACTATTTAAAAAAAGAAAGCCACACAGTTAATCAAAAATGCCTGCTATAGTGGTTATAATTAACACTACATGTGACACAAAGCCCTTTCTTTACCTGACCCTTATGAGGTAGGTAGCACAAGCACCATTGTCTGTATCTGACAGATGAGAAAAATGAGACTCAAAGCAAGGAAGCAAATAATGAGTTTAATTTTAGATAGGTTGAGAGTGAAGTACAGGGAGGGTCTTTGGCAGTTCATGTCCAACAGGCAGTTGAAAATAGAGGTTAAAGCCAGGGATACAGATATGAGAGTCATTCACATGGAAATGCTGGAATGAAAATGTTCAGTAGTTCTGGTCCAAGCTAAGCATTACATTGCATATAACCTTGCAACCTGTGATTACTGACACTCCTCCAGACAATGATGCTTAGATAGGCTAAACAAAAGTTAAAGATGGCTTCCAAACTGTGCCCTAGACAAGCCCTTTCCTCCGTGATGATTGTGTTCAACTGCTCTGATTACATGGTCCACAACTTAGCTAGCCTGGGGCCAGAGGTAAGAGACCAGATGTGGGGGTGGGGGTGGGGGGCCAGGGCTGGCAACTGGGGAGGGAGAAAAAGGAAGCGGTGGTGCTCAAGTCAAGTCTGTAGCTCTGTTCC